GTTGAACTGTACGTCTGCGTCCATACTCATATTACTAGGATGGGAGCATTGTTCTTAGTACTGTAGCTATAGCAACTGATACAGGTAAACTTGTTGGGGGAAGGGTTGGGTTGATGCATGTTAACACTCAGCTGGATCTTTTCAGTTGATTGGGGAAGTGCTCATAACTTGACCCAATAGAAACTAGAAGGTGGAGATGAGGAACCTAATACATGGACTAGAAATGGGTCTTTTCATTATTATCTTACTTCACTCCCAAACTAAAAAGCTATTTGCCCTCTACAACTTCTACTGATCGCTGAGGGAAGATGGTACTGCAGACCAGAGCTGGACTTCTAAAAGTGGTATCTTAGACTGAAGCCCTGGAATATGGCTGAAGTGGGTTTCAGGAAAGATACTTTCTCCTAACGTCTTCAATGGCACCCCCAAAAAGAATACACTTGCCAATGCCAGAAGCTTCTAGTATGTTTTAGCCAGAGTTTTGGGAGGGGACACTTCAAATGTTCAGCTTGTGATTTTTCCTTTGTAATTACCCTGACCCTGTAACCCTGTTGTGAGAGTTTTGAAGCAAATAGAAAAGGGACTGCCTCCTGGCTGGTGTAGCTCAGTGGATTGAGCACGGGCCTGTGAACCAAAAGATCGAGGTTCGATTCCCTGTCAGGGCACATGCCTGGGTTGCAGGCCAGTCAGTTCCCAGCAGGGGATGCACCAGAAGCAACCATACATTGATATTTCTCTCCTTCTCTTCCCTTCCCTTCTAAAGATAAATAAATAAAATCAAATTAAAAAGATCTCCCATTTAAAGAAAGAAAGAAAAGAAAAGGGACTGGTACTTAAAAATAGGTATACCACTGCCAGTTTTTTGTTTTGTTTTGTTTTGTTTTGTTTTGTTTTGTTTTGTTTTAGCTGCTCTGAAGTCAGGTGTATATGTTTATTGAAAACACAACTGGAAGTGCTAATTCCACCTTCCTGTGCCATGTATTGTTTATCCCTTCTCTTAAACTTTAAAAAAAACCAAACTTTTGAAGTACAGTATGGATATTAAAAAGGTACACAAATTGTTGGGGTGGCTAAACAGTCTATTGCTTTTTTTCTATAAAATAAAAGATACTTTTTTCATTTACACCAATGACTTTACTGATTTGGATGTTTTGAGTGTGTTGGCTCTCCCTCTCTGTTGGCTTCTAGTGGGTAGAGGCCAGGGCGCTGCTATACACCTTCCAATGCATAAGACAGCCCCACAGCAAAGAAGTATGTGGCCAAAATGTCAGTAGTGCCAAGAAGTTTTGGAAACCACTTTTGACTTGTTTGATCAGTCATAGCATTTTTTCCATACACTGCACAAATCATCTTTTTTGTGCTTTAGTTGTGTTTTTACCTTTCTTGAAGTAATAAAGTGTAATACACCAGAAATGTTAAGTATTTTCTTTTGTCTTAAATATTAAAACAGCTGCACAAAAATATACCAATTTTGATGTTTTTAAGAAATGCATGCTGATACGACAGCTGTCAGTACAGTCTAATAAAACTGTTTCTAATGAAGTTCAAGACAACTAAGTACTACTAGAGACATCATACAGAAAAACTAAACGAAGTTTTTGGTCAACCCAGTAGAATTATTCAGCTTGATGAGTTTTCACAAAATAACCTGCACTCTGGAAACCTGTTCCTGTTCCCTTCTCAGTCACTATCTTTTCTTCTCCTCCCTGGAACCCTACTTGCTGATACCTAAAACCACAACCTAACTTCTAATGCCATAGGTTAATTTTTGCCTTTTTTGAACTTTATGTAAATGGAATTATATGGTATACACTTTTGTCTGAGGCTTCTTTTCACTCCTGTTTGTAAGATTCATGTGTGTTGTTGCTTTCACATATGTTTAGTCCATTAACACTGCTATAGGATGATACTCCATTTGAGTATTTACACTGTTAAGGTTTTTTTTGTGTGTGTTTTTTTAAGAGAGGAAGATAGACATTGAGAGAAAGAGACAGACATTGATTAGTTGTTCTACTTATTTATACATTCATTGGTTGATTCTTGTACGTGCCCTGAACAGGTATTGAACCTGCAACCTTAGTGTATTGGGACAGTGCTCTAACCAACTAAGCTACCTGGCCAGGGCCTACTTTTTTAAAACAGTGTTCACATGGCGTATAATTCACCCATTCAAAGAGTGTAATTCAGTGTTATAGTATATTCTCAGGGTTATGCAGCCATCACCACAGTCTAATTTTAGAATATTTTGTCTTTAAAAGAAATGACATGCCCATTAGCAGTTAACTGCCCATTCACTCCCCGTTCCTTCCAGCCCTAAACAACACCTAATGTACAGCTCTTTACATTTGCGTATCCTGAACATTTTATTAAAATGCAGTCATATGGTATGTGGTCTTTTGGGACTGGCTTCTTTCATGTATAACGTTTTCAAGGTTCATTCATGTTATAGCATGTATCACAACTTCATTTCTTTGTATAGTTGAATAGTATTTCATTTTATTCATCGGTCTTCAGACATTTGGATTGTATCCACTTTTGTGCCGTTATGAATAATTGCTACCATGGACATGTGGACACACACAAGGTTGGGCAGAAGTAGGTTTACAGTTGTTCATATGGAAAACACAATAATCATAGTAGAAGAAGAAACTTCTTCACATTACAGCTGTGAGCCTACTTTTGCCCATCCCTGTATTTGTGTGGACATAACACTTCAATTTCTCGAGTGTATACCTAGGAGTGGACCTGTTGGTAACTAATTTTTTAAAAGATTTTACTGTTTTTAGAAAGAGGGGAAGGGAGAGAGAGAAACATAGATCTCAGTTGCCTCTTGTATACCCACCCCTAGCTGGGTGCGGAGGGGACGTGGCCTACAACCCAGGCATGTGATCTGACTAGGAGTCGAACCAGTGACCTTTCAGTTTGCAGGATGTACCCAACCCACTGAGCCACACCAGTCAGGGCAGTAACTGACTTTTCAAAGAACTGCCAAACTTTGCCAAAGTGGATGCCTTTTTTGCACCTATAAGCAAAATGTGTGAGGGTTCCCATTTCTCCACATTGCTGTCAACACTTGTTATTGTCTGTCTCAATAGATTATAGGCATCCTACCTTGTGTGAAATGTTATCTTATTTGTGTGTTTTCTTAAGGTTTTTATTTATTTATCTTTAATGGGGAAGGGAAGGAGAGAAATATCAATGTATGATTGCCTCTCGTGGGTCCCCTGCTGGGAACTGGCCTGCAACCCAGGCATGTGCCCTGACTGGGAATCGAACCGCTATCCTTTGGTTTGCAGACCCATGCTCAATCCACTGAGCCAGGGCTTATCCAGCCAGGGCTTATTTGTGGTTTTAATTTGTAGTTCCTTAATGACTAATGATATTAAGTGTCTTTTCATTTTACTGTGCATTTGTACATGTTCTTGGAGAGATGTCTGTTCAGATCCATTGCTTATTTTTAAATTAGATCATCTTATTACTGAGTTCTAAGAGTTCTGGATACTCGTCCCTTAGGAGATATGTGACTTCCAGGTGATTTCTTCCATTCTCTGGTTTGTCTTTTCGAATTCTTGATGGTATTATCTGCAGCACAGGAGTTTTAAATTTTAATCATTTTTGGGAGAGGTAGGTTGTTAACTTTTAAAGAGGCATTACTCAGTTTGGTTCTATGACACTGCACTTCTTGCAGCTTCTGAAATTTTTTAAAGTAATCCAGTTGTTCACTTGATTATCTTACAGTTTTTCTAGAGACAGACAGTTTTTGAGGACACGATATTTCAAAGTAGGTTTTTTGTAATGTATTTTTTTCATGGAAACCAGAGTGTAATTATATGCCATGGCCCATCTTTAAAAAGTAAGTTTGATGACTGATTTCATTGGGAAATAGTCAAATACAATTTTTGTTCTAGTAGTTAAAATAATGAAAGAATATTTACAAAGATAGTTGGAGACTTTTAATACTTTTAAGGAACTCTAAACATTGAGTTCATTCACTTGCTACTTTTTCTTACGAGTGTAGAATGGTGACACTTCTTAAAAATTACCAAAATAAAAAATCTAATAATTGTGCATAAAGGAAATGGAAGGGACGCTGGAAAATTTATTTTGATTATTCTGGCAAAAGTTTAGAACAAGAGGAGGGAGATTAAACAATTTCCTCTGGAATGTGAGAATATTTAGCTGAACTGCAGCTAAAAGTTGTAAAAAGGAAAGAGCCTTAAGAAATGGGGTATTGGGGCCACAAGATGAGAAAAATATGGAGACTGTTTAGTTACCTTAATTAAGTACAGAAAGGAAAAAAGATTTTGGGTTAAGCAGTTCACCCCTGCTAGACACTGGGAGTGGGGGAGGTGTTTAGAGTGAAAGGGAAAGCTGTTTATGTACATAGGATATTTGCAAGTTAAGTCATCACAACCTGGGCAGTGCTGGTATTTTACTATATAACAGTGCTGTTATGAGCACATAGAAGTACAATAAATGGTCAGTGAATCACTAACATGGGACAGTATTCATAAATGAGTAACATAAAAGCAAGCTAGTTAAATCTGGACATGTTAAGAGCACCCTTTTGGAATGGGTAAAGCAGCTGTTAAGTGTTATATGAGAAGAAATGAACGCTTTGGATGAGAGACAGGTGCAGAGAAATCTGCTGCTTCTCAAGCATTTTGGGCCATAACCTGTCCTGAGATTAGTGCATTGGGATAACCTAGGAACTGGTTGATGAGGGGAGAGGTATAAATTTAGTCTTAAAATTTGCTCTTTGTAACAAAATGATAGTTGTTTTCCACATACCATGAGTCTTAGTATACTACCAAGGGGAGTGCAAATTAGCTTCCAATGAGAAATAAACTGCCTGTTTGAAGATGAAGTGTGGTGAATTCTGTATTGTGAGAAATTTTCTTAACTGAATTGTATGTGCACCACATGTTCAGAAAAAGGAAATATGTGTGTTTTGCTGGTTTGCAATTACATAATGGAATGTCTTTCTTTTTGTTTCCTAGGCTCTCTACTTTTAGAATCCAAAATAAATCCTAACACTGCATACCAGAAACAACAGGTAAAAATTTAAAGATGTGTCTTATTTTGCCTATTATCTCAGTTTAGTGATTAAATGAAAATTCACCCTCTGATTACTTACAATGAAAAATTCAAAAACAGATTACAATGTATTTTGCCAGCCTAATTTAAAAAATTTGATTTCTGCCAATTTCTCTAATATAAACAGCAATCATTTTAAATTTTAAAAAAAACTTGATTTCAGTCAAGCTAATTTTATGTCCCAGGTAGTTGAGCAGCTGAACCTTAATAATTGAACATTAAAAATAGAAGTTTTGTTGTTTCTGTCCAAAGATTTTTTTTAGTGGCCACCAATGTAATCATCAGCCAGTAAACACAACTGAATAGTAGAAACTCCTTCCTTTACTGTTGTACGTGCCAGAGGGAATACTCATATCCCTGTACCGCAGCTCAGTGTAGATAAAAATCTGATTTCTTACATAGCCTGAGGAGGATCTTACAATGAAGTTACAGTTTTTAAGGCAAGTTTCAGTTTGAGTATTCTTTCTTGTACCTTTCTGATGTACAGGAGATATTTGAAAGTAAATCATTCCCTCATTTAATACCTACTTGCACTGTCGTTGAAACTTGCACTGTCGTTGAATGCGTTGAATGCCGTCTGTTTGGAACTGATACACACACTGTTCTACAAATCCATTGAAATCAGTATCAGTTTCCCATTGCCCTGAAGGTGCAGAGAGAAAATAATTCATGATAAAGAATATTACCACCACATTCATATATATTACTTTATAAATATATGCATGTATCATTTTATAAATTGTAAAGTGCTTTGCTTCATCATCAACACTAAAATACTACTAGGAGGAATTTAGTATTGGCTTTATTTTGCACATTAGGTGATGCAAAGGTTGTGAGTTGCTTGAAGTAACACACAGTACAGAGGAAGGCTGATTTAAACTCCTGAATTTATTTAGTGGCGATTTATTTTGGGCATACTTGTCCAAAAAACATTGGTACAATGTGAAATATTTTCCTCATAGTTGAATGATCTACTTCACGCTATGTTGCATCATTCAGTGTTAAGAAAATTTTTAGGTTTGATTGGAATGGTTGGAGACTGGAGTATTTGGCTTTGGTGTTTTATACTTGAATACATAAATTCACATTTTGAGGTTTCATTCATTCAGTTAAGAATGAATGAGTTAATTCATGTCTTAACCTTTAAGCTGTTAAATCACAAATAGGCAAGGTAATGTATGAAAATTAGGCTCTTAAAGGAAAACCGAAGAGCAAGATGTATGAATTCTCTAACTTCCAAATTTGCCAAATGGATAATTAAGAGCAGATGTCTAGCTGTGCCTTAAAGTAAGCCTCCACGTGATTTTTGAATATACATTGTAGCAGAGCAGTTGCTTACAGTTATATTAAATTCATCTTATTACTAATGTGATAGTGATTTTAGGCTTTTTCCTATGGGTCTTATATTATCACCACGTTTCGTAATAGTTGTATTATACTCATTTTAAAGATGAAGAAGCTGAGGCCTAGGGAGATTACCCACCTGACAGATTTACAATGTTCATGTAAGTAATTCTGAGCCTGAACAGCGGTCCATCGCTGTGGAACACATCGCCTACCTGGGATCTGTGATCTCTGATCTCGAGAAGTTCTTGAATATAGTAAACAGGGATCTTTGAGCTCTTTTTTAAAATTGTGAGTAAGATTGTGGATTTTCACTAATAGTAATGCTGCACACCCTGATCAAATGATTATTTATACACCTCCGTCTGGCATTACTCCTTCACTCCCTCTCCCCCTTCCTTTTGTGACTGTCATTACTTTAGTTCAGTGAGAGACTATATTGATCTTGTGGTGGACAGTTACATACTTGACTAAACAGAGTTAATATGCAAATTCAGCACACAGATTTTTTAACATGAGATCCATTTGTGTCCAGTAAGAGGTATCTAGGGTAATGAAAAGTATTCAAAACTGCCACAGTAGAAATCTAGGTCCTTTCAGTTACCTTGAAGACAGTCTGATCAGTGCACTTTCAGCACCCTGCTAGATGCTCAGTCAGCCTGTGCTTGGCTCCTTTCAGTTACTTTTTGGTTGGATTGAGTTATTTTTTTCTTTATATTGTACTCAAATCCATTTAACTATAACTTCTCTTACTCTTCTTTTTTGACTAGTTTGAGAAAATGCTACATGATCACTGTTATATTAAGCTTTTTAAAAATGTAAATGTAGAATGGCACTAGGGAGTGCCATTCAACATTTCATAGACCTCTCTCAGTAAGAGGACGCGTTTTCATTTTTTAAAAGATTTTATTTGCCCTAGCTAGTGTAGCTCAGTGGATTGAGCATGGTCCTGCAAACCAAAGGGTTGCACGTTCGATTCCCAGGCAGGGCACATGACTGGGTTGCAGGCCAGGTCCCCAGTGGGTGCTTATAAGAGGCATCCACACATTGTTTCTCTTCTTTCTTTCTGCCTCCCTTCCTCCCTCCCTTCCCATCTCTCTAAAAATAAACAAATAACAACTTTTTAATAAAGATGTTATTTATTAAGAGAGGGGAAGGGAAGGAGAAGAGAGGGAGAGAAACATCAGTGTGTGAGAGATACTTTGACTGGTTGCCTCTCGCACACCCCCAACCACGGACCTGACCACAACCCAGGCATGTGCCCTGAACCAGGAATCGAACCGGCACCCCTTCAGTTCAGAGGCGGGCACTCAGTCCACTGAGCTGCATCAGCCAGGGCAAGGGCCCTTTTTAAAAAATGGTTGATTGCTATGAAAGAGGGTATATGTTTATTTACTGTCAGTAAGTTTGAAAATATACCCAGACCCTATAAGTATTATAGAACACATTATTTTGTACTGTGGGGAATGTAAGATGGTCTTAGTATCGTAAGCGTAGTGTTCTGCCTGTTTTCATCTTAATAAAAACTGGACCTGTTTATTAAACTTACCATCATTAAAAAAATAAAAGTGAAGAGGAGTAGAGGGGTGGTGGGACCTTGCTTCTTGAAGCACAGCACTGGTGAAAGTTCACAACAATCCGTCTAGACAAATGTTCACATGTTACAAATTTAGCCGGTAATTTCAAGGGCTTCATGGGCCTACATACCCCAGGTAAAAAACACTTGACGTTGACAGCAGAGGGAGGAGCTAGGCTTATCCATCCTGTCCTCTCCTTAACATGCTCTAGTTACTGTTAATGCTCAGACTTTCTCTTTGGGCATGAAATGTAACTTAGTGTGCAAGCATAGGATTGATGAAAATGTTCACTTTGTATGTTTTAGTACAGTTAGACTGTATGCTCGTTTTGCTATGCTTGTCATATATTGGTTAAATTACTCCTTAAGGGAAATAGTTTTCATAGATTGGATAAAGTGAAATGTAAAGGGTCATGGGTAATTACCAATGTCAGTGTCTCAAAAAGTGAAATGAATACTGTTCTCAGTTCCTTGTTGCTTTATTCATTTGCCTTATACTTTGAAGTAGTTTGTGATAATGTATGTTAATCATTCAGACTTCTTTTTTTCTCTCTCAAGGATACTTTGATTGTGTGGTCTGAAGCTGAAAATTATGATTTGGCCCTTAGCTTTCAAGAAAAAGCTGGATGTGATGAAATTTGGGAGAAAATATGTCAGGTAATTTAAAAAATTAGACAACCAACACACTCTCTTTTAATACCTTATTTTTTTGTTATGCTTTCAGCTAATACTCAAAATTTTACTAAATACGGGAATTGGCAAAAGCAGGTTTACAGTTGTGCAGATGCAAAACACAGTTTTTAGTCTTTTAATATTTGTTACTTACTGCATTTGTTTGTATTATAGCTGTAAACCTGCTTTCGCCTACCCCCGTACACAAGCATTTCATGTAGATCTCTTAAATTCACTGCTCTCTGTGAAAAGCCTGATTTACAGAAAAGTTCAGTTACTTGACATCAAACTATCCAGCCCAGACCTTTGCTGTAGCCACGATTTTCTATCCAGTTGCCTTTGGGAGCTCCTCTGTTAGTGCCCCCTTGCATCTCAGATTTAATAGTCCAGAACCAAACATAATCTCACTGAGATCTGTTCATTCTTCTATCTCTTTCATTTTAGTAAATGCCATCCAATTGCTGAAATCAGAAACTTGAGGGTTGTGTTTATCCTTTTTCACTCATATTCATTCAGTCTCTCAATCATAAATTTTAAATCCGTTCAGTTGGCTTCATTTTCACTATCATAATTTACTAAGCCACCATCATTCTGTGCCTGGTTTATTGCTTTCATCTTGACTCGTCTTTTCATTCAAGTCCATACCATAGCTAGAGTGATCTTTTTAAAAATGCACATCTGATCATATCACTTTGTTAAGTTACTTCTGTGGCTCTTGACTATTTCTTCGACCTCATCTTGCATGTTCTAGTTGATTCTGGAGTTTCCTGTTCAGTTAATAATTTCCATAATCTTTTGTGAATGCATTTTATTTGCTCTAGCGGCTTAAGGCATTGGCTCTTGTTATGTAATCATTTAGACCATTGCATTGTAAGGGCAGCTTCTTTATCTTCACATTTATTTTAGCTGGAAAATAATCTTCAGATTTCCTTAATTCAGTGGTTGTGAAGGTTTAGTTCTCAGACCAGCAGCAAGTGTGACTCTAACAAAGCCTTTGGTCAGATTTCTCTGTAAAGGGCAGGAACTAAACATTTTGGGCTTTGTGGGTCATAAAGTTTAATGGCTATTAAGCTCTGCTATTTTAGTGCAAAAATAGCCATAGAAAACACATCAGTAAATGGGATTGGTTTTCTTCATGGGAAATTTCATTTACAAAAACAGGTGGTAGGCCAAGTTGGCTGTAGTCTGTCAACCCTTGCTTGCTTTGGGTGATTCTGGTGCACCATGAAGATTGAGAGCCACTGCCTTAATAGAAGCTGCAGTCCTTGAGACAGTTTTTGCTTAACTTGTAGAATTTTTTTCTGCTCTGTATTCTTCTCAGCTGTTCCCCTCCCCATAAATTAACCTGCCTGTTAAACTGTCCCTTTCTTGTCCTAACATGTAAGAGACATTTATATCTGAATGCTTTCTTTGCCTTCCATTCCATACAATTGCTGTTTTGTAGCGTGCTCCTCTAGGATTTGCCCCGTGGAGTTCTACACAAAGAGATGAAATTAGGGGTATGCTAAAATTATTGGCACCCATTCAGGAAAGGCTTGCTCTCCTTCACCTTCCTGAGTTGAACTGTTGCACTCCTGACCCAGTCTTCTGTTATGCCAACATTTAACTTCGACTGGCACTCAGTCTGTTACCACCATGCCTGGCTTTCCTATAATACAACTGTCTGATCTTTACTGTACTTTTCCTTAGTCTATAATACCATAAATCTTAGTCATTTTCATTTGGGTCACAGATAGTAGTACTCGGATACTTTTTCTGCAGTAACTTTTCTAGGCCATTGTAGATATTTTTCTGACCTTCTCCAGCTTTAAATACTTTAGGTTCAGTATTTTGTTTCCCAGTCACTCTTTTATGGTCCTGTCTGTGCTTCTCAGTTTCTGGATCTTCTCATTATTTCTGGATTCTGGCTCTCCCAGCATATCCAAGGGAATACTATGTTTTGAACCCAAATCATTATTTAAAAGATTTTATTTACTTATTTTTAGACAGAGGGGAAGGGTGGGAGAGAGGGAGAGAAACTTGTGATTGCCTCTTCTGTGCTCCCTACTGGGGACCTGGCCTGCAACTCAGGCATGTGTCCTGATTGGGAATCGAATTGGTTGACCCTTTGGTTCATAGGCCAGCACTCAGTACACTGAGTCAACACCCAGGGCTGAGCCCAAACTATTTTTGATCTAGAAACCATTCTGTAGTACACTCTTTGATAGAAGTTATGTCTGAGTGTGTCTCTTTTTTTCCTTTTTATGTTTTTCATAACCTTCACATTCTCATTATCTTCATATTTGTCCAGGCTGACTTCTAATATTTATATTTTCTCTTAATAAAGAAGAAAGCTCTTTGCTAGCTTATACTTTTATTTTCATTCTTCCCTTGTTCTGCTTCTGAAAGTATTTGTCAAATTGTACAATCACACCTTGATTTTCTGAGGAGATCAGATTCCAAGAGTATCCTAAATACAGGTTGTCTGATTACTACCTTAACCTTTATATTTGTAAATTAGCTGAAGAAGATACCATTTTTCATTTCAATAAAGGTTCTCATCCCTTTTCTTTTTTAAAAATCAAATGCTACCATTATTCTACAAGTAAAGCCATGGCTTCAGTATGAGGTCGCTAAAGCTATAATGAGAGCTTATGTAAATAACAGGTCCAGAACCAAACTGAAGATCATGCAAGGTACAAGCTGTGAATGTATCTAGCCTCCTTGCAGTGGTCTGCCCGCTGGGTCAAGATTAAGATGATACCACCGTGCAGCGTATTAGAAGACATATTCCAGGACATCTTCCCTTCTAGTATCCATCAACAATATCTTATAACTATGCAAAGCAGTTTTAAGTTTCTTTGTAAGGCCCAGTTTTTCCATACTTTCACCATTCAGTTTTGCCTTTTGAGCTGATTTAGTAGCAGTCTCAAATGATATGGCCAAGAGAACAAACTACTTTTATTTCAGAATATGTCTTTGGCCTTTTGTAAAAATACTTTTTAGCCTTAAAAGTTATCTTTATAATTAGAGCCTTTACACTGACATAAAATTGGGATTTAATGACAAACTTTAGGACTTCTGGAGGATTAGGAAAGCTACAAGTTTAGGTATAGACAAGAAAACTTTTTTGTGGTTTGGTTACTTTTAGCAGATCCTCTTGGGGATAGCTCTGTTACATACAGGTTACAGTTACTTTTTCATGGTTTCATTTCTGTATGTGTGCACTGGTTTCCCATTCAGTTTGCATAATCATATTTTTGGGTACCAACCAGCGTTTATAGCAAATCGGTGACCCACTTTGGTCCAAAGCTAGTTGGTGTATGCTCTTTGGCCTTTGATTTCTAGAGTTGACATTAATTATTTTCCTTGTTGCTTACAATTATATATGTTTTCTATGGTCTCAGCATTACGATATTTGTAAGCTTCTCTTTGAGGAGTCTGGTGACTATGGTGGAGCACAGTGTTGTGAATGTTTCTGAGACTTGCCCTCTGTTGGAAAAGAGGGTCGTGGATATAAGATGCGAGTGGATGTTTCAGCATAGGCCTCTTCAGCGAGGGTCTGCAGGGCACTCCTTCTACAGTTAGTTTAGCATATCCTAGAATGTTTATGTTGCTGATAAATCTTGCACTTAGGAGGAAGCTCATCCCCTTTCTTAACTTTGAACTACCTTAAAATTGAAAGTATATGTTACTTATAGATATGTAACTTAGAAAAGTGGGCAGTTGGGTCAAGTGTGAAGGAATCTTAAACCCCAGAGTTGTCATTATAGTTTTTTATAATATTTCTTGTATGTATATAAGAATATCTTTTGGATTTGCTTGATTATATTGTCAGCTATTATAAATCTGATTTAATAGGTTCAAGGAAAGGACCCTTCAGTGGACATCACTCAGGACCTTGTAGATGAATCTGAAGAGGAGCGTTTTGATGATATGTCATCGCCAGGTTTAGAATTACCATCTTGTGAATTAAGTCGCCTTGAGGAAATTGCAGAACTTGTGGCATCATCTTTACCGTCCCCCCTGCGTCGTGAAAAACTTGCACTAGCACTGGAAAATGAGGGTTACATTAAAAAGCTTTTAGAGCTTTTTCATGTGTGTGAGGATTTGGAAAATATTGAAGGACTGCACCACTTGTATGAAATTATCAAAGGCATCTTTCTCTTGAATCGAACTGCTCTTTTTGAAGTTATGTTCTCTGAGGAATGTATAATGGATGTCATTGGATGCTTAGAATATGATCCTGCTTTATCACAACCACGAAAACACAGGGAATTTCTAACAAAAACAGCCAAGTTTAAAGAAGTGATTCCCATATCAGATCCTGAGCTGAAACAAAAAATTCATCAGACATACAGAGTCCAGTACATACAAGATATGGTTCTACCCACCCCATCAGTCTTCGAAGAAAATATGTTATCAACACTTCACTCCTTCATTTTTTTCAATAAGGTAGAAATTGTTGGTATGTTACAGGTGAGTTTGATTATTCTTTTTTCCTACTTGATTGATACCATTTGAACTGTTGTCTTTAGCAGAGGTAATTTCACGTTCCCTTTAAATAACTAAATTTTCTTCTTACAGTATGCCTAGTCTCTCAGGTCTGGTGTTTCAGGTTGTTTCCATCAAAATTGCCTAGGCTGCAAATTCCTGGAGTCTGCACAAAACATAGAATCAAAATCTTTACGAGCAGGCCAGTAACTTGCATTTGTAACACACACAAAGTCAAACAACCTCTTCAGTATATTATCCCATAGTGTGTGAATTGGTCTATTCTAACTGAAATGGAAGTCTGCATAGTGCAGAGATTTGTGAGCTGCGTACTTCCCATGTTTTTGTTTCTCTGATGTCCGTGATATTGTGAGAATAACGGATATGTGACATGACTTGAAAGATATATTATAAAGCCTTACCTCAGATCTACAAACAGTAATTATTTGCAGCCTGGACTTGTTTAATAAATTAAGGAGACAAATATCAGAAAAGCTGCTTGGTTGCACACACTATAAATAAAACAGTAAGTTTAATTTTCGTGTCTGTTTCTTTTTAGAAAACTGCTGTATTTTCAGTGTCTTTGGCCTTTGTCGTGGGTGGGGGGGCACTTCAAATAGAAGCCAGTTTTACCAAAGCTGCTTTCTTGGAACTAGTAATCCAATTAATGTTGATTAATTTGACGTGTATATTCTGTTTATTTAAGACAGACATGTAAACAAATGATATAGGCAGTATATTCTGGTAAGTGTAGTAGTAATCCTCTGTACTGTGTATTATAACTGATAATGGAGGAGGAAGAAGGGTTTTGATACCAGTTTTCATTTATTCTTTGATAAGGAACTGGTTTTTACTAGAGACCTATTAGACCCTGTGTTCTGATCCAGTTTTGGTTCCTGGTTTCCTTGGATGGCCCTGCGCAGTCCTTTTCTTTAGCCTCACATGGTTCTTACTTTGTTAGGTGGTGATTTGTCACTTCTGTATTTTCTCAGTCTTTATACCTGTGCTGGTTTTGCTCATTAAGTATGCGTACTTTCAAGTTGTTAAGTGCTTCTGTGAAGAAAGTAGAATTTTACAAATTTTTTGATGAGGAGTGATAGAGATATAATTAAAAGCAGGTTTTTACCCACCTTAAGAAACAGTTGTATCCCTTAACTTTGCCTACTCTATGTAACAGTGTTAAACATTCTTATTTTCTCTGCTTCTATACCCCAAATGCAGCAGTTCACAGAATCTTTTTTAATCATTTGATTTCCATTTCATGGAATACATTATATCTGGGATACATCTTGAAATTGGATGCCATTTGAGGTATGGCCTATTTGTACATTTTAGAAAAAAAGTAAAGGTGGGAATAACCAAACTGCTTCAGTGTTACTGAAAATGTTTTTTGAGCACCCAGAACAGGAAATACCACTAGTTTATAGTTAATCTAGTGGAAGGTTGTATGTACACACACAACCCTATATACATGTAGGTATGTGTATATATATTTAGACTTTGGCTTGTCTGTATGGCTGTAGTGTTGAATTTACTTCTAGCTGAGGTAGTGTGGAATTAAACTATAACAAAAATCTTCAAAATAGTCATGGAGAAAATTGAACAGGTAATCAGGTCTCTATCACCCACTGTAGCTGGGTTTTGGGGAAATTTCTTAACCTGTCTTAATTATAAAATAAGAGGTAAGGTAATGTTTGAGGTTCTTTCCAAGTTCTGTACTCTGACTTATTTACCCTACAAACATGTTTTCTGAATCCTTTTCAGGATAATTTTACCCTATGGGAGTCTTTTGAATCCCTTCCAAAATAATTTAAGGCATGTTTATGTGTACATACGGCTATCTTCAAATAATAGGTTTTTCTAAACTTCTGAATTTAGCTTTTTTTTTTTTTAAAGAGTTTATTTATCTTTAGAGGGGAAGGGAAGGAGAGAGGGAGAGAAATATCAATGTATGGTTGCCTCTCATGCATCCCCTGCTGGGAACTGGCTTGCAACCCAGGCATGTGCCCTGACTGGGAATTGAACTGCAGTACTCTGGTTCACAGGCCCATGCTCAATCCACTGAGCTATACCCACCAGGGCTTGAATTTAGCTTTTTAAAAAATTGAATCATTTTCTGTGTCTTTAAAACACCAGGGAAGCTTTGTCCTCATTTTTATTTTCCATTTGAAAGGTTGTAAAACCTTAACTCTGGCCCTGGCCAGTAGCACTGTGGGTTAGAACATTCTGTATGTGCCCTGACCCCGTTAAGCCTAGGGTCAGGGCACATACAGAAATCAGCCGGTGAAGGTGTAAGTGGGTTGAACAACATATTGACACCTACCCACTTTCCTCTCCTTCCCCCTCCTCCCTCCCTCTGTCTCTCTAAAACAACCACCAAAAACCCATTAACTTAAAAGTTAAGGTTATGAAACTATGAGAACCAGGGTTCTGTAAACTATGGGCCACAACTGATTTTTGTAAATAAAGTTTTGTTTAAACACAGCCACACTCACTTATTTACACACTGTCTCTGACTGCTTCCTGTGATAAAAACAGAGTTGCATAGTTGTGGCAGAGACCATATGGCTTGCAAAGCTTAAGATATTTACTATGTGGCCTTTAAATAGGCTTAGGAAATAGAGCCTTGCCAAGTTATAAAGAACAATTTTTCTGTGTAAATTGCCAATTTATCCTTCAGTAGTTGGGTTTCTCTGTCTCTGTTTTTAAAAATCGCATTGCCAATACAGTCTTTTTTTTTGTTGTTGTTAACTGCAGTTCATGTCTTCTATTTCAGCATCTAGAAATTATTCTATTATACTTAGCCATTAATGAGCGTAATTTATCCTTTGATTTCACAGGAAGATGAAAAATTTCTGACAGATTTGTTTGCACAACTAACAGATGAAGCAACAGATGAGGAAAAAAGACAGGAATTGGTAAGAAATTTCATATTATAAAGGACATGAAATGAAAACAAAAGACCTTTTATAGTCACTTACCCTTTTTCCTAATTTCAGGTTAACTTTTTAAAAGAATTTTGTGCATTTTCCCAAACACTGCAACCTCAAAATAGAGATGCTTTTTTCAAGACTTTGTCAAATATGGGCATATTACCAGCTTTGGAAGTCATCCTTGTAAGTCTGTGTCCCCTTATTTTTAATTGCCATTATATTTTTAATCTACAAAAGTAGTATTTTTTATGTAACATGCAAGTATTTATAGCCAATATTTAATATTAGCTGTGTATTACACAATGGTTAAAAAGCTATAAAACTTCAGTATTAGAGCCCTAGCTGGTGTAGCTCAGTGGATTGAGCGCGAGCTGCAAACCAAAGGGTCGCTGGTTTGATTCCCAGTCAGGGCACATGCCTGGGTTGCAGGCCAGGTCCCCAGTAGGGGACACATGAGAGGCAACTACACATTGATGTTTTTCTCCCACTCTCTCTCCTTCCCTTCCCCCCTTTCTAAAAAATAAATTAATAAGAAAAAATTTTTTTAATCTTCAGTATTAAAGTTCTTGAAGAGTAGTGAAAGACTGCTCAGAGGAATTTTCCATATTTTTATATTTTTAAAGATTTTATTTTTAGGGAGGGAGAGGGAAAAATCAAAGTGTGGCTGCCTCTCATGTTCCCCCTTCCACTTTAATAATTGTTAAGTTCACAGCCTGTTGACATGTTAAAATAGAAAAGTAAATAAGAATAAAAGAAAGTATAACTTTATCTGTAGAACCAGGGATTTTACATGCAGGAGAATATCCTTGGCCTCTTTTTTTATTACATTGTTTTCTTTTAATTTGTTAGGTTTTGAATTTATGTAGCCATAAGTTCCCTATTTTTATAATTATGAGAAATAAGTGCTTTTTATCTGCAGGGCATGGATGATACACAGGTGCGAAGTGCTGCTACTGATATATTCTCATACTTGGTTGAATATAACCCATCCATGGTACGAGAGTTTGTCATGCAGGAGGCACAGCAAAACGATGATGTAAGTAAGAAGTTAACAGAGCAAAAAATAACCAACAAGGTAAATATTATTTGCACTAACAGTAAGTATTTATACATGGGGAGCAATAACTGTACTTACTTCAGATTTAAATACTTGACATTTGGGAAAAGTGTAGCCATCATATCAAATGGCCTATTCTTCCCCTTAATTGGCTCCTGTCTCAGTTTTAAAGTGTGCCTTACAGATGCTCAGCTTAAATTTTTTTTTTAATTTTTGAATGTTTCATAATTCTGAAGTTAACTTTCTATATTGTTTAAATCATTTAACCAATAAATCATCATTCTTTTTTTCTTTTAAATAAAGATTTATATTTATTTTTGGAGGGAGGGGAAGGGAAGGAGAAGGAGAGGGAGAGAAACATCATTGTGTGTGAGGTACATCGATCTGTTGCTTCTCACACACACCCACTGGGAACCTGGCCCACAATCCAGGCGTGTGCCCTGACTGGGAATCGAACTGACCACTTTCGGTTCACAGTCTCACCATTCAGGGCTAAATTGTTATTCTTTATGTGGAATTATGAATAACTTTCCTAGGAGAACATTGACTTGGGTAGGGATTGATTTCCAAAATCGTCAAGAATGAAGAAAGGAAGCCTAGGCCTTTGGGGACAGTATCTAGAGTGCCCTTACTGCCTCACCATGGGGAACCAGCTGTTGTCTTGTTCGTGCACACACACACACGCCAGTTTTAAAGTGAGGCAGGGAACCCTGTGCCCTGGCAGTGCAGCGTGTGTGAGAGCCCTCGGTGTGCGCTCTGTTCTAAGGTAGTTCAGGCAATGATTTTGATTCCTCCCTTCCCCTATAAAATCTTGAAAGTAATTTTTTGCTTAATAATAAACTAATCTTCTGCCCTAAACTCCTTAAGGGAGGGGGGAAAGACATCCCCTTGAGGCTAGAAATCTGTATAGATTTTTTTCTCTTTTTTAAAATGTGAGAAAATAAACTTTTTAGAAAGATACTCATTTATGTGTAGTGATGTTAAAATGAAGTAGAATGCCCGGTTACTTCTATATTTAAGGTTTTTAAAAAAATTGTAATGTCAGAAAAGTGCAAGTTTGAACTGTTATATATTTTCACATTTTTCTTTTATAAAATAGTCCAATCTTGAAAACCAAACTACCTGTATTAAAACAAAGGCTATTCTTGTTGGGCCTGCGACCCACTAGTGGAACACACATTGATGTACTTTACTCACATGCAGTAGGTCTCTTGATTCCCAATCTCTGTCATCATTTTCATAAACTGTTCTCATCTTCCTTCTGTCTGTCCTACCATCGCATGTATAGGCAAGAGCAGGGATCTTTCTCACTGAATCCTTCTCAGTTTGTATTTACTCCTGGGCCAGGGACACCGGTCACAGCAGACCTCAGGAAAACCCACAGTCAGTTTTCTGTGACATTTGGAATCTATATAGTACATTTATTCTCCTCTTGTTCTCTAAACACGAATCTCATTTTCCCCAATTTCAGACATGCAGGTACCAACTAATTTTTTCTTAAAATTGAAACTTTATATTATTCCCATAAGTGGAGAACAGGTATAGATATTATTTGCCATGAATAGAAGGAATCCACAAAAATGCAGTGAAAGAAAAAAGTTATAAATTCTAGTTAAACATTTTTACTATTAAATCTATGCATCTAAGGCCCATTACCTTTCTTCTTGTTTTGTTATCAGGAGGTAATAAAGATTATTAATACCAAACTGAAATTTTGTTTTTGCTTTAATCAGAGATTTAAAGATAACTGGAAAAGTTTCTTTACAGTGCTATTTAGTGTAATGTCTTTGTACCACATTTTAGGGAAACAGTGCCATATAACCTATTTAATAAGTCAGTCATCTCATTTTGTTTATAGCTAACAAGACAGAGCTAGATATAATACTGTAGTGTGTCATAGCCTGTGCTTTTTCCATTCTCTCATAAGTGGTCTTTTTGTATTTTTCTCACCAGGATATTTTGCTCATCAACCTCATTATAGAACATATGATTTGTGATACAGACCCTGAACTTGGAGGAGCAGTCCAACTTATGGGCCTGCTTCGAACTTTAGTTGACCCAGAGAACATGTTAGCTACTGCCAATGTAAGCCATGGACGTGTCTATATCATGCTAATATATTGTTTATTGCTGGTAGGAACCAGTGCAGTTAAAGTTCATGGAAGTGTTTTTGATTCCTTAGAAAACAGAAAAGACTGAATTTCTGGGTTTCTTCTACAAACACTGTATGCATGTCCTCACTGCTCCTTTACTGGCGAATACAACAGAAGACAAACCTAGCAAAGGTAAGGCAGTGCAGGTTGGTAGTTCTTGGAGCTTGAAGTCTGAAATTCACAGTGTTCATAGAAAGGCCTAATGTATTTTCAAAAGAGGTGTTCAGAGTAAAATTTCTTTAAAGCACTATAATCAAGATAACAGAAAGGTAAAATAATATAAGAAATTATTTGTTTTCAGGGATGGGAGAAATAGACAAAAAACTGTATTTGAAAAATAACTAAACAAAAATTTTAAAAAAGAAATTATTTGTTTTCAGAATTGAGAAAAAAATTTTGTTAAAGTAATAATTTGTTTTTCATTTGCATTTACATAGGTGAAATAATAAGTTCATTTTGAGTATTTGTACTCAAGGTGTGTAGTAGAGCAAAGCTTGTGCTCAAGATTAAGCTTTTTTTTTTTTTTTTTGAGATTTTATTTGTTTATTTTTAGAGACAGAGGAAGGGAGGGAGAAAGAAGGAGAGAAACATCAATGTGTGGCTGCTTCCCACATGCCCCACAGTGGGGAACCAGCCTGTAACCTAGGCACGTGCCCTGACTGGGAACCAAACCAGTAACCCCTTGGTTCACAGGCTGTTACTCAGTCTACTGAGCCACACCAGCCAGGACAAGATTGAGCTATTTTTATTTGCATTCGTGATTGTTCTTATGTTTTAATGATTTATTACTTCTTCATTTTATTCCTTTAGCTTTCATCTTATCTGTGTGTTGAATTTAGAAAGTAGTTTTATAATCTTCATCTGAAACTTTGGGGATAAATATTGAAACTATGGGAACAAATACATTATTTGGTCATATGAATTATCAATATAGTACTTTTTAAAATCCTCACCCAAGAATATACTCAGTGATTCTAGGGGGAGGGGGGGAAGGAGGAAAACGTGGATTGGCTGCCTGCTGCACACACCCCAACTGGGGACTGAATCCACAACCCTTCAACCCCATGGGACCGCCACACTGGCCAGGGTTCAATATAGTATATTTTAATTTGCAATAGGACTCAGAAAATAAATGACTCTAGAATCAAGTCTTGGAAACATGATACTCTTTTTTCCTGTCTACTTGATTCATATTAGGTAGAACCTGAGGCTTCTTTCCAAACCCACATGTTCAGTTCATCAGACATTCTTTGAAAGCCCATTGCATGGAAGGCATGTGCTGTGATTCTAGGGGCTGAATGGAGGAATTGAAAAATAAAATAATTTCAGAGGCTTGCTGCCTGGTGGGCAAGATAAATCAGTCATTATAATTCAATGTTGATTCATTATGTGTAAAAAGGAGGCACAGAAGATACTTAGTTGATTCTTGGAGCAGAGAGAGTAATTGCACCAAGACCAGACGGTGTCTGACAGGACCCCCCGTGCGGGGTGTGCACGTCTGCTAAGGGCTGTGTTAGGGCAGGGTAGAGCACCCTTACACTGGAATAAAGCAGGCCCAGTAGCTGGTGTCCAGTCTCTGCTTTACTGGCTTTTCAGACTCGGGTCTTGTGAAACTAATTCCTCATAAAGTTGTTCAAGAAATGTGAAGCATCATTCTCGGTACATGGTAGGCATTCAGTGCACGTTCTTTTCCTTAACTTTAAAACGTTTCGGTTAATAGGATTGTACTTGATTGGAATTTGCATTCTACATTTGGAGGAAGAAAAGAATACTAGCCATTAAATAAATTGTTTTGTTTATTTTAGATGATTTTCAGACTGCCCAGTTGTTGGCACTCGTATTGGAATTGTTAACATTTTGTGTGGAGCACCATACCTACCACATAAAGAACTACATTATTAATAAGGACATCCTGCGGAGAGTGCTAGTTCTCATGGCTTCGAAGCATGCTTTCTTGGCATTATGTAAGTGTTGCTTCTGGTAGACCTATTATTTATATATTATCATCTTGTTGGTATCTTTATGTTTCACTACCTGAGAAGAAGAGATCACTAATCTCAGGCCAGGAGAGCTAATACTAAACCACACTGATTATGTACCTGGGCCGCATTTGGACCAGGTGATTGTCCTGCCTCTATTCTTTCTCATTATTATACAGCAAAGGAGTTGAGTGTATCAATAAAGTGTATTACCTTGGAGTATTACATTCCACCTAAGTATTGTATTTCACCTAAGATCATTTTACCTCAGTTATTATTTTTTAAACAGTGCAGCATTACTAATGACAAATTAGCTTTCTTCTTGTGAGACAGTTTTTGTAATTTGGAAAATTTATAGCTAATCAAACTGAGTTTCCAAAACACATTCTAAGTTACAGAATGCCTAGCACAAATGCCTACAGATGGTTTGTTTGTTAATTCCACAAATAATTTTTCCCCAGCTTTATTTCGATATATTTGACATAACATTGTTTTACCTCATATATTTTAGAACAGGGGTGGCAAACTACAGCTGTTACCAAATCCAGCCTGTGGTCTAATTTGTATACAGTCTGAAAGCAAAAAAAAAAAAAAAAATGGTTTTTATGTTTTTAAAGAAAAAAAATACCTAGAGTCCGTATACGGCCCACAGAGCCTAGAATGTGTACTGTGCAGACCTTCGTGGGAGTGGTCCGTCAGCTCTTTGGAGCAACAGATAGTCTTTTAACACAGTCATTTTTAGCCACACTGTTTGTTTATTTGTTTCCAAAAAATTGGCTTTCACTGTATTCTTAAAGACCCTACTTTATTCAAATTAAAAACCCTTTTTCTGAGTTGGAAATATGTTAATCTGGAATATCATGGACCGTGTAGCAGCCCACCTTCTTCTGCTAAGCTGGCAGTCCAGTTTTCGGGGCACCTAGAGGCTAACTGAGATGGCTGCTGGTGATTGACACTTTTTGTTTTTTGTAGGTAAGTTTTGTTCTTGTCGTACACTAATTAGAGTGTACAACACTTCTATTACTTCATTTAAAATTTTTCTTGCCTGATTTTTAAAAATAGCCTTAAATTATGAAAACAATTTTTATATAAGGTTGTTTCTGATGTTGATTTATCAACATTTTTACCTTTAGTATTAGAAACAGGTTTTCTTGTAAAAAAGTTTACTAAACTTTTTCTATCAGGGTAACAGTTGCCATATAATTGACTTAGATTTTTAGGCCAGCGTACACATTACAGCACACACTGACCACACATCTGGTCAGAGTATATATTTTCAACTTCCAGTTTTCGGATAGTCAGTACAACTGCTTTGTGCTAATTATCCAAAACCTTTGATATTACTTTACTAATCTTTTTCAGCCAAGAGTAATAGGTAGCATCAGTGGCATAAAACTATATTGCTAAAAACAGCAAAAGATAAGTTCATTATTTTGCATATGTCTGGGAGCTAATTTATTAGCCCATGTGAAAGAAAGGCTTTTAAACTCATGCATTTTCTACACACCTATCAGAGCAAAAGTGAGAAGCCCCCAGAGCAAGTTAAGAGGGAGTTTATAATGAATGCTTCTTGGAATGTGTCACCATAGAAGATTTTATTTGCATATTGGGAAAGGGCATTTGTGAGCAGATGGGACAGCACGGAACAACAGAATAAATAACAAGTTGATCAGTTTTATTTCAATAAACTTAGTAAACACTTACTGTTTCACTGATTCTGACTGTATTTCAGTAAGACATCAGTAAGAAATACTGATTCTTATTGTATTTCACTGATTCTGAGATTATATATTTTATACATTTACCATTTCTTAAGGTGAGTCTTAACAATGGCATGTCATGACCTATAGTTTTTTGTTTGTTCATTCTGTTTTCTTAGCAGTAGAAAAGGTAAAAGTTTTTTTCGCAATCACTGGCATCTTACATTTCAAGAAGAATGATATATACCTGGTACTAGGATGATTAAGACCTGGACTCAGTGGTCAAGTGGATCAGAGTTTATTTAGGAGGAAGATCTGTAAAAATTAAAACAACACTTTAAGCACAGTGTTATGTGTTTAGATGTATAGTGGAAATTATTTATTCTACATGATTGAGGCAGATCAGGAAAATTTTGGAAGACTTGAGTTTCTCCTTGTCACAGGAGAGTGATGTCCTTGTTAGAATACACAATCAGATGTGCAAATGCGGAGAAGTGTGGTGTGTTAGAGGTTTGGTGCAGTACAAGCCCTGTGGGAGGGTGACAGGAAAGGCCCGATCTTCAAGCCTTTATCTCATTTGGCTTGTGGTAGTGCAAAGAAAGTTTCTCATAATTTAATGAGAACTATGAAAAGAAGCATTACAAATTAATGAATGTCTACACTGTTGGAAATTTAAGTGTAACAGATAAATCTTAGTTGTCTTTTATTATCATTAATATTTTCCAAACTATCGTTAAACCTAAATCCTCAGTTATTCTCAGTGTGTAGCTGTCTCCCCAGGATTGAGAAGATAAATAGCTTTTGAAAGATGCCAGTCAGTAGGAGCGAACTCTTTTGGACTGGTTTTGCAGTATACAGGAGGAGTTTTTATCAAGGATTTGTGAAAGAACTAAGCATAAATTTGAGAAGATTGAAGACACTTTTGGACTTCTGATAATGAAGTACATTAAAATAAGTATAGTTTTTAAAAGGGTTTATAAGTAAATTTAATTGCATTCTTGTAAGGACAAAGGATAATGAGTGGTTAAGTGTGAACAGTTTGGGGGACTTGGAGATACTTTTCATATCTGTTTCTTCTTAATTAGTATACTTTTGTCATATTGAAAGACGACTGATCAAGTCTGTGAGACCAGCAATATATCCAACGCTAAGTCGATATGTACATACATACACAGGCACGCACACACACCAGTAATATTCATCTTATTTCTTGGCCTTTTCAGGATTCTTGGGTCTTACATTATAACATTTTAGCTCATATTTTTATGTTTTCTGTATTCTTATTAAAAAATTTGTAAGAGGAATGAGATTAAGTATGTTGGAGATACTTCCATTTAGCTATATCATTAGTTACATGTGATGTAATCCCTGTGTGTATGGATTACTTGTTTTAGAGATCATTGAAACTGAGCACAGAAGATCCCTGGCATGCCAATCATGAAAGCTGGAGGTATAAGCGGAAGCAGCGTGCACTCTGCATTAAGAACCCTGTGGTCATGCCAGTATGACCTAATGCAAAAGCTTCCTCTAAGCCCCTTTGAGCAGCTTGACTTCACAGAATACACTAGTAAATTTTTGAAAGCAACTTTTTATTCAGCAGAGAATAGTGGTTGGATCTTTTTGATGCAGGTTTCTTTTGGGGGTTGGGTTTGAGTGGAAACAACAAAGTTTTTGATACAAATAAATGAGAGCAAATAAAAATGAGAGGAGCAAAATAAAAAGACTGTTAGAACTGCTTTCTATCTACAGCAGCAGTTTCTGAACAGAACTGCTCTCGAGGAGATGGTGGTGCCATCTGTGTTGGTCTTAGTGAATTCTATCTAGGAAGGGAACTGCTTTCCACTTCCCTAGGAACTACCCGGGAACTGTGTGAGGACCACAGGGTCCAGCTGGTGTCTGTTATGGTAGCACACAAGTCTCCACAAAGCCAGCAAATTCTCACTAGTTCTGGCCTCAGTTACAAAAGCTCAAAATTTGGCCTTAGTAGCATGAGCTCTAAAAGTATCGATTTTGATTCTAACAAATGGAACTAACTGCCTAAGTTACTTTGTCTAGTAACATTAAATGAAAAACCAAACTCTAAAACCATTGTTTTGGGAAAATAAACCCTTGTTCGGATTTGACTTTAAACACAGAAAGATGCCTCTTCTTGTTTAAAATGTCTTATTTCACCATGCTTTTATGTATTTGAAAATATTCAATAGTTTAAAAAATAAAATGCAATTACTATTCTATAAACTATTTTGAAGTTCCCTGCCCAGAGTGTCTCTTTAGAAAGAAACACTCTTAAGTTGAATTGTTAAGGCAGTTTATAATCACCTGTACCTAATTGGGCATTCACTTGTGGACCTCTTTTCTGCCAACTGAAGAAAAATTGAGCTGCTTTACTCCTCTGCCTTCCCACCCAGAAACCGTGTCAGCATGGTTGCCTGGCTACCTGCTCATGAAGGACTTGATTAATAACAAATTGGCAATTTAACGAGCCACTTCCATGATCTCCAAAGAAACCAAAATACAAACACAATATTTAATCTTGCCAACCGAAGACGATGTGACTGCATGAAGTGAGTATGCTTTTTTGAACTGTTTACAATAACTGGGGCATTAACTTACTGATAACCCATTTAGGTGAAGAGGGCTTTGTTAAAGTCTAGCTGTCTGTGTATTTGGATCTTGACGGATGGTGACTTGACTCCCCATGCCTCAAGATGTAAATATACCTTTTAATCTGTAAGTTAAAGCCTAATTAATTGTAAAAAGAAAAACTATAAAAAAATTAAAAAGCATACTCGCTGCAATAAGCATAGAGGACCACATTTTAAAACAATCTCCTCTAAATTTATTTCTAAACTATGGGAAGGCAAATTTTGGGTCATGCAGCTTTTTGTGTTTTACAGCATTTCTACAAACACATCCATAAATCAGTGCAACCCATGAATTCTGGTGCAAAATAGTGTCCAAAAATAATGATCAAATTGTATGGTGGATTGTCCTGATAAAGCAATGGTTTTTCTAATATTTTGAAGATAGCTGTAAATAAGGATATGTTTAGAATTCTCCAAGCACAATAGATTAGTTCATTTCTTGGCCCTATCTTGGCTTCTATTTCAGATATAAAGTACATTCTGGTCATTACTAACTTGCAGAGTTTTTCTGGCTCTCTAAGACTTGTGTTCTATGGTGACAAACGCTACTTTGGAGTACATTTTTCAGAACCCTTTGGTAATCTTTAGGTTCACACTTTGGGAACAGTAATGTCCCTGCACAAAGAGCTGTATGTATTAAACAGCTCTTTTTGTAAGTTTAAGAGACGGAAATGTGGAGTGTAATATGAACAATGCCTCTTTGTTTCAGGTGCTCTTCGTTTTAAAAGAAAGATTATCGGATTAAAAGATGAGTTTTACAACCGCTACATAATGAAAAGTTTTTTGTTTGAACCAGTAGTCAAAGCATTTCTCAACAATGGATCCCGCTACAACCTGATGAACTCTGCTATCATAGAGATGTTCGAATTCATTAGAGTGGTAGGTTCTGTGCTCTGTCCTTTTAGAATTTAGGCTTTGAGAAACTTTGAATACACATTATTGATACCTTGGCTTATTTGAGATTGTTATATTTTCTAAAAATCTGTTACCCAAAAGCTTTGTGAGAGACTCAATTCAAACTAATAACCGAAACAGTCTCTCTCAGCAGCTGTGACTCATTATAGGACAGTTCAAAGCTGCTTACTGTCGTGAGAATCATTTTTAAAAAGTAAAATTATAGTTGATAAGCATTTTGATGTGTTTTTGTATAACTTTCTTGACGTTTCTCCCATATGTTTCTAAAGAGCAATTTTATAGCCAGCTCTTGGTTCTTTAATGATACATTCACCAGTGGCTCTCAAACATTGCCGTGTATTAGAATTGTCTGTGGCATACTTTTTAAACATGGTAAAGTATATATAACATTAAACGTGTTACCGTAGCCATTTTCAGGTGTGTCATTCACTGGCATTCAGTGCATTCACATTGTTGTGCAACCGCCACAACCACCCAGATAGGCACTTTGGTGTGACTGATACCTGTCTGTCCTCACCCAAGGACACGCGTGCTGACTTTTAGAGAGAGGGGAAGGGAGAAGTAGAGGGAGAGAAACACCGTGGTCGGTAGCCTTTTGCACGCATCCCAACTAAGGAACAAACTTATACCCCAGGCATATGCCCTGACTGGGAATTGAACCTACGATCTTTGTTTGTGGGATGATGCCCCACCAGCTGAGCCACACCAGACAGGGCGAGTGTGATTTAAAATATCCATGCCCAGACACCAGACGTACCGAGCACGAGTCACCTCGGCTGCGACCTGTGCGTTTACTTTGGAAAGACCCACAGGAAATGTGGACGTACCCAGTGTGTTGTGCCTGTGTTCATTGTCAGACAGTCTCTAGAGTATAATCATTTTATGAAGCTAAACTCTTTTGGTGTTTGTCAGTTCACAACAATTGGGTAATTATCTTTCTAAAATAACATTTCATCTTACTTTTTATTACAATTCTTTTCTATAGGAAGATATAAAGTCACTGACTGCTCATGTCATTGAAAATTACTGGAAAGCACTGGAAGATGTAGATTATGTACAGACATTTAAAGGGTTAAAATTGAGATTTGAACAACAAAGGGAAAGGCAAGATAATCCCAAACTTGACAGGTAAATTACCACATATTTGAACCTGTTCATGCAGTGAGTGATACGTTGTGTGGCAGCGGCTCTTTTCTGCTTGTATTTCACCCCTTGGCTTGGCAGGGAGGAGGAGACAGCACGGAGTGAGTAGAAGTGGTAGTGTCCTCCGTGGCGGGCACTGTGGGGGTCTCCCTGCAGGCGCAGGTGGGGGCTCCCCCTCAGGCGAGTATTGAGCTGGCCAAGGAGGAAAAATGGCCGTGCGTGGCACTGAGGCTCGTGTGTCCAGGCAGATCCGAACATTACCCTGCTTGCTTTGAATTACTTCAAGGTTACAAATGTTTTAAGAAATGTACATTTTCCTAAATACCCGATTTTACATTTTAAAGTCCATAAATTATGACTTGTGAATTTCTGGTGTTAAGTTTAGTAACTGATGTGTAATAGTACAATTTTGATAATAGGAAGTTGAATTCCGCTAGTTACTGTTAGATTTGGCAGAGTGTGTTTTTAAATTCAGGTTAAAACTTTTTGTCGGCCTCTAGTGTATAAATGTTTTATCCCATTTATCTGGTGAGACTAGATCTAATTCAGAGCAGTGCTTGAAAACCATCTAATGAAACTTTCACGAGCCCGTTTGCCCCCGTCTTCTTTCTCTTCAGTATGCGTTCCATTTTGAGGAACCACAGGTACCGCAGGGATGCCAGGACGCTCGAGGACGAAGAGGAGATGTGGTTCAACACGGACGAAGACGACATGGAGGACGGAGAGGCCGCGGTGTCTCCATCCGACAAAACGAAAACCGATGACGACATCATGGACCCAATAAGTAAATTCATGGAAAGAAAGAAATGTATGTTGAAAAGACGGGCAAGCAAAAATGGTCTTTCTCTCTCTAGGTTTATCCTTGTTTCTCGACACAGTGATTAGTATCCACTTTGTGTCACGACATAGATTTTAAAGACGGTTGCCTTAAAGAGGGTGAATTAATAGCTCTTGTGAAGGTACAGGCTAAACGTTCTTAATTTGACTTAAGGAGAAAAATATTATTTCAGGAAGGATAGGCACACTGAATATATTACTGAAAGTTTCGTTCCTTCTCAGTAGTAAAATTCAGTGGGTGATGGTATTTACTGATCTGTTGAGCTTTGTTCAAAAATTGATCTGCAGTGTTCCTCCCTGGCAGAGGAGTAAGCTGTTGAATTGTGTGTTAGTGTCACCTCACTTGGGGGAGTTTTTAAAGGGTAAGTATGGTTGATAACTATTGACAATATTCTTATTTTTAGTAAAAGAAAGCGAGGAAAAGGAGGTGCTTCTGAAAACCAATCTTTCTGGCCGGCAGAGCCCAAGTTTCAAGCTTTCCCTCTCCAGTGGGACAAAGACTAACCTCACCAGCCAGTCACCTGCAGCAAATCTGCCTGGTTCTCCAGGATCGCCGGGGTCCCCAGGATCTCCGGGCTCTCCTGGATCGGTCCCTAAAAATACATCTCAGACGGCAGCTATTACTACCAAGGTACACTTCCGACTCCTGAGCCTAATTTAAGCTTTCTCAACAATAATTATTTGGACCGAGAATCCCTTTGCTTACTCTCTTTTTGGAACTGGTTTACTCAGTTTTCCCAATTAATAAAGACTTTGTGGGGGAAAAAGATAATCTAAATACCCAGACACTCCTAATTTTCTTTTGCCAACAAGCAAGGTTTATAAGAAGAAATTAACCATCTGTTATTAGTAACACTTCATATAAAAAGGGATCAAAATTTTAACACCAGAAATGTAGGAAAGACACCTCAGAATGAAAAGCAGTTCTTTTGGTTTCCGTATGCTACCCAAGGCTAGCATAACCGGCTGGTATTTGAGCTGTATTGCTCTAAATCAGGAATATACTGCTCATCTACGTGTGTGTATTGCTCTGATGTGAGGTCTACAAGGTAGTGTGAGAAATGCTGAGATGAAGGGACATGCTCAGGACAAGAGCACTGTGACTTTCCCCAGCCATCTGAATGGTGAACCGCAGCGGTTCTGGGGAGCCAGGGGTACAGGGAAGGCCAGGTGAGATGACAGGGAGGGGTAGGGCTGCTTCCCTCTCCCACAGCTGACGGTCTGTCGGCCCACATTTCCAGTGGTCTCTTTACCTTCCGTCGTGTATCTGACACTCTAGACTTCTTTTAAACATTTTTAATGCATCGTTAATCTTAAAACATTTGAATTTTTAATCATTAATGATTTTACTTCCTGGGATTTACTAGGATTATAAACTACTAAATGTTTTTGCTCTGGGAAATTTAGGAAATGAATGCATTTCAGTTATGTGTAATCTCACCTCTCAAAAGTTCTACATTGAGGTGGGTGTGGGAGGTGTGTATCCTTTACCCATACTTACAGTCCTTGTTTCTGAACAGGGAGGCCTTGTGGGTCTGGTAGATTATCCCGATGATGATGAAGATGATGATGAGGATGAAGACAAGGAAGACACGCTACCATTGTCAAAGAAAGCAAAGTTTGAGTCATAATAATGGCAACTGCCTACAATCAGTACCTGTAGAAAAACTGGTTCTCTACCCCGACCCCCTACAAAATCCACAACAAAGCAGTGGTCTCTTGTGAACGACTGACACAGATCAGCCTCGCACACTTGACTTCTGCTCATCAAGTGCCAATTCAATGGAGCAGGAGGAGGGGATATTACACACTGGGGGAAAGACATAAGCCTTTGAGCTCTCCAGCTTGGACCACACATTGCCCTTTTCTCAGGGAAGGAAATGGAAACATAAAGCCAACAGGGCAGGGGTTTTCTAAGTGGATTGACTGGTCAGTTGCTACAATCAATATGCTTTCTCGGACCATGTTTGGGACTCAGAAGAATAGGCTTTTTGGCCATAATTCTTAACTAGTTAAGAATGCCAGCAGTTTCTTTGTATAAAGAGACCTGCCTTTAAAATCGTACATTCTGAACATTTTAGTCAAACTACAACAGGTTTGGAAAACCTATGGGGGAGGGGCGAATATAAAGTTTCCTCTTTTTTATCTGTTCCCTTTGCCCTTCGAACTGCAGATTTTTTTTAAAGTGGGGTTTTGTCCCTGCTTTATTAAAGATTGAGTGGAATTCTAGATGTGGTCATTTGTGTCATAATTTTTTTTGTTTCATTTTGTCCGATATTTTTCCCCCCTGAGTGTATGCTTAGTTGAGTATATATATTTGGGACCATTAAAACTTTTTTTGATGTAATATAACTTAACGTTGTGCTGGTACCTGTTTTACCATGTGTAATTTTTGTTCTGCATCACAATTCCTAATTTGTTTAGAGTTTTATGAAAGACGGTATAGTTTTTATTGACAGAAGCAGAGTAACCTTACAACTATGTGCATACAAAAGCAATACTATTTTGTGACTAAATATTTTATATTAAAATTTACATCAGCAACTGTCTTGAGAATTCAGGGAAGTAGAGTGAAATTTAAAATTTCAACAGTTTTGTTAAACCTAGAGCCGTGAAATTAGTATTCCAAAGAGATTCTGAAACTTCATATCTTGGGAAAATGACGGTACATTAAATCACAATTGAGGATGGATGATTTAAAAATAACATATTTGACTTTTGAATAATAAAAAGAAAAGTGAAGAGTAAGATAAATTGTATTAGTTGTATGTTTCGTTTCGTTCCTTTTTTTTAATTACTCCCTTTGGAATACCAGTTGGAGTCGAAGGTGGCGGCTCCTAAATGCATGCCCGGCTAGAGGACCCCCAGACAGGGGCTCGGTAAAACAGCATTTTTAAATGGGTTCTTTTTATTGTCTTAGGTGTGCTGGGATTCTGTTAAGGAAATGAAAATAACTACCTTAGTTCCACATACCCTCACTTTAAGTGAAGACGTTAGAACTTCCTGAAGAACTCATTTGCCAGTGCTGATAAAAATTAATATCCAGGAAAGGGCTCTGTTCTGACTGCCATGCACTCTGAGTGTCTGCTGTGCTCCGGGGGCTTCTGCACTGCTCTCCGTAGTCCTCAGTGAGTGCTAATGTGTGGAACCAAAAACAAGGTTATTGAACAGTTGGGTAGAAAGCCACAGTTTGCTACAATCCCGAACAGTTTTGTTGTTAGCTAATTACTTTTTTTAATAGGGAATTTGCATAATTAACTAGCAGAGTTCAAGCATATTTCACTACATTACAGAGCTACTTCTGAGTCACAAGTTCTGGCTATTAACAGCTGAAGTGGATCAACTCACCTTGTAAATACAGAGAAGAAAAACTTGACAGGATCTAAGTTCATTATGTTATGTCTTTGTTGCCTAGAAAGAACTATGAAGTGTTTGTGCTTAAACACACAGTGTAAACTCCCCTTTCTCAGCACTTCTCCGCCTTCATGTTCTGAGGGTTCCTGGGTAGAGGGAAGAGGCATCCCTTGCTTTCATTGCCTGTAGTCTAATACAAATACAATTTTTTAAAAGGAAAGTGACCCAAGGTTGTTTTTTTTTTCTTAAGATTTTATGTATTTATTTTTAGAGGGGAAGGGAGAAAAACATCAATGTGTGGTTGCCTCTCAAGGGCCCCCTACTGGGAACTGGCCCACAACCCAGGTTTGTGCCCTGACTGGGAATCGAACCGGTGACCCTTTGGTTTGCAGGTTGGTGCTCAACCCACTGAGCCACACCAGCCAGGGCTACTATATGTTTTTAAGAAGTTAAACTATCGGCCTTTGACATTTAGGAGATGCCCTTTCAGTGATGGACTATTGTGTTTCCTTAGTGATTATGGTTACTGAAGCAAAAACTGTACCAAAAAAATTTGCTGTAATAGGAGAAGTGAGGTCTAAAATAGCTCGTCATTTCATTAAGAATGTTAGCCAGAAACACAACACTTAAATTGACACAGTTCATCTGACTCAAAAGTTCACGCTCTTAAACATAGGCACTGTCTCGATAATTGGTGTAAATATGTGCATAGGATATTTTCCATTTTAATGATAGTTACTGGGTCTTTTGCTCGTTTTGTAATGTTTATAATGAAAATTTCACTTCTCAAGAGTGATTACCAATTTCTGAAAAGAGAGTTTTGTAACGGCTGTAGGAAACCCCTGGACATGCTGACGTGTCCAGAAATGTTACCCTGGCATTTTCGTTAACAAGCCTGGTGGTTTTTCCCTGCCTGTGTTCAGATCCTGCACTTGGTCCCCAGAAACTCCAATTTGCAAGGCAGTTTTTGTGAATTTGAAAATGGGGAGTCATAGAGTAAGGGGGGGAACATTCCTTCTGGTTTTGTTTTTAACTGATTTCAGCAGTATTTTCTGTAAAGCTTTGCAAAATTAGAATGGCAAATTTAAATGGAAGATTATTTAAGTGGAAAAATCTTCAGATTGTCTGAAATTTCTAGTACCATAAAAAAACTGTTTAAATAGCATTGTCAAAATCCCTTTTAGAAGAAAACTGAGGACCTGCAAAATTCTTATATAAGGTTATATTAACTTTCTGTCATAACATGTATCAAGGAAGAAGATTACAAAAAACTTTACGGGACGGATTACTGTCTACCAGAGACCACGTGTGGCAGTGAACACCCATCCGCACGTTGGGATACCCAGTGCTAAATCAGTTTGATTTCTCCTTGGCCTTACTGCTTCTTCATCTTGGCTCTTTAGAATGTAACTGTTAGCCTCTCTTCAGACAGATAATGTCTTAACTACTGGAGTCGGATGTCTTGTTCCTTAAAATAGCTCTGGTTGGAGACAACTTTCCTTGACCTTTTCACTCTCCTAGGTAAGTTACTCCACGGACTCATAGCGAATGGTTATTTCTTCAACGTGATGCCACGTGGGTTTTTGTTTCACTTCTTTCTATTCCCATCATTCTGGGGCGGGGCAACACTGCTGGGTGTAGGCCACATCCTACCTGCCAATCCAGTGAACCCCTTTCCATCTCCGTAGTACTGGACACTTCACACTTCAGCAGTGTTGACTACTAGCTACTACTGACTTCTTGATCTTCCCCTTGGCTTCTCTTGTACCATGTGCTTTAACATTAATGACCTTTCTGTCTTTTCATAGCTCCCCTCTTTACCCTTTAAATGCTACGATTCACTAGGGTTCTGTCTTGGGTATGTATCTCCCCCAACTCCAGCAAGGCCACATTATTTGCATGTCCCTGACCCAATCATGCCGTGACCTAAAAGACAGACTTGAACCTGTCGTGTGCCTCTCTCGATACTCTTCCTTGCTTGCTGATGAGCTCATACTCACCTATCCACATTCATAAATGTTCCCTGGTACTCCTTCCTTGAAGAAAGGGTATGTTACAGCCTTTTCAACTTTATATTCCTAGTACCTAGCATGACACCTAGCCCACAGATGGATCACCAAGTGTTTACTGGATAAATGATCAAATGACTGAACAGTATGTGCAGCCTGGGAATACACAGCCTGGGAAAGTCTTAGCTGATGCCCTTGCACAGTTGAAAAGCTTGCTTCAGCCCTGGCTGGTATAGATCAGTGGAGTGAGCGCCAGCCTGCAAACCAAAGGGTCGACAGTTCGATTTCCAGTATAAGGGCATGTGCCTGGGTTGCGGGGCCAGGTTCCCAGTAGGGGGTGTGCAAGAGGCAACCACACACTGATACTTATCTTCCTCTCTCCCCCTCTCTCCAAAAAAAAGTTTGCTTCATTCTTGACCATAAAATTTCTTCTTGTGGATATAAAGGGAGGGCTCCAGACTTCTGTCCTTTGTACCTCTGAGCCTTAGGTTAGCAGCACAAACAGTTGCATTTCAGGTTCAGTAAATTACCTCATCTGATTCATTTCAACAACACCTGAAGTTCTTACAGACGCTTTCCTGGTCCATTCATCCCTGGCCCCAGCACCTCTTAACTCTTACTGGTCATAGGCCTGACCATTTAAGTACACACCCCCTGCCTTCTGTTGCTGGACCTAGCCATGAGTTACGGATTTCAGAGACCACTCACATACTGGTCTGATGTTTACTAAATCCCTTGCTCTTAAACTTTAGAACATTTTGGTGTATTTCCTGAAATGTAGCTTCTAGAAGGCAGGCCCAGATTCGTATGGTTTCTCTTTGTATAGCTGTTAGTACAGTAACAGGTGGTGGTTAGGTACATAGGTAGAATTCACCAGAAGAAAAGTAGCGATTAGTTCACTGACATTAGTCTTGGTTTTTTTTGGATCTGACACCAAAGGCAAAAATTTAAAATGGGATTATAGCAAATGAAAAAGCGATACTGCAAAGGAAGTCAAAATGAAAAAACCTACTGAATGGAAGAAAATATTTCAAGTATAATCTGGTAGGGGCTTAATATTCAAAACATGAAAAACTTATAGAACTCAATAGCAACAAGAAATAATCCAATTTAAAAATGGGCAAGGGATCTGAATAGACATTTTTGCAAAGATGATACAGGAATGATCGACAGTACTATGAAAAGATGCTCAACATCACTAATCATTAAGGAAATCAAAAGAACGAGATAACCTCACACTTGTTAGAATGGCTAATAAAAGCAGCAACTGCTGGTGAGGATAAAAAAAAGGAATCCTTGAGCACTGTTGGTAGGACTGTAAACTGGTACAGCCACCGTAGGGAACAGAAGATTCCTCAAAAAATTAAAAATCAAACTATGATACAATCTTGGAATTCCACTTCCGGGTTTCTATCTGTAGGAAATGAAAACACATGTTGAGATAGCTGCACACCCATGTTCAAAGCAGCAGCATTTAACCTGAAGGATGAATGCAAGAATGTCGTGATGTATACACACACATAAACACACGCGATGGAATATTACTCAGCCACAAAAAGGAAACCCTGCCACGGTAAGTGAAGTAACTCAGGGAGAATGACAGGTACCATGGGATCTCACTTGGATGTGGAATCAAAAAAAAAAAAAACCAACTGAAAAAAAGAACAGATTTGTGGTTACCAGAGACAGGAGATGCGGGGGGGTTGGGGGGATGGGAGGAAGGGTCAAAAGGTACAAACTTCTGGTTGTAAGTTCAAGGGATATAATGTACAACATGATGACTGCAGTTAACCTTGCCGTATGGTATATATATGAAAGCTGGTAAGACAGTAGATCCTAATAGTTCTCTTAATAGGAAAGAAATATTTTATCTGAGATGACATGTTGACTCAACTTACTGTGGTAATTATTTCATTATTTCACAACATAGTTGACCCTCAAATGGTACTTGGTAGAACTGTGTGGGTCACTTACACATAAATTTTTTTTTCCAGTAAATACAGTCGGCCCTTCATATCCGAGGTTTTGCCTCTGGATTCAACCAACTGAGGATCAGAAACAGTATTTTCACATTCCCAACCATGTTTTCCTAACTGCAGAATGAAAATACTGTTTTCAATCAGTGGTTGGTTGAGTCCTCAGATGCAAAAGGCCAACTGTAGATTTAAAAGTTACATGCAGCTCGGACTGCTGTGGCTCAGTGGTTGAGTGTCAGCCTGTGAATCAAAGGGTTGCCGGTTAGATTCCCATGCCTGGGTTGTGGGCCAGGTCCTTGGTGCGGGGCATGTGAGAGGCAACCACACATTGATGTTTCTCTCCCTCGCTCTCTTCCTTCCCCGCTCTAAAAATAAATAAATCTTTAAAAAAAAGTTACATGCAGATCTTTGACTTTGCAGGAGCTGGTGCCCTTAACCCCCACGTTGTTCAGGGTCAACTGTATACAAAAAGTCAAATCATTATGCTGTACACTTTAAACTTAAACTCTGCTATGTGTTATTTATATCTCAATAAAACCAGAAAAAGAAGAATTTTAATCCCAATACAAAGCTATATTTGTCAAAACACCGTGGTATAGGCATAAAGACAAATACGTAGAGTAGTGGAATAGAATAGAGTCCGGAAATAAATCCTTTTGTCTGTGGTCAAAGAGTTTGTAACAAGGGTGCCAAAACCCTTCAGTGGGGAAGGTCTGTCTCTTCAACAAGTGTACTGGGAAAGCCAGACACACGCAAAAGAAGGAATGAAGTTGGACCCTTAACTCAAAAAGGATCAAGGACTTAAAAGACCTAAAATAACAAAACTCTTCCCAGAAAATGTAGGACAAATGCTTCATGACACTGAATTTGGCTATGACTTCTTGGACATGACACCAAAGACAAATCCACCAAAAGAAAACAAAAAACTGGACTTCATGAAAATTTAAAATTTTTGTCCATCAAGAGAAACTATCCACAAAGGAAAAAGGTAACCCACGAAATTGGAGAAAATATTTGCAAATCACATATCTGATGGAAGATTAATATCAAGAATATATACAGAACTATTACAACTCAAGGGAAAAAAAGTCCCATTCAAAAATGGGCCCAGGCCTGGAATAGACATTTCTCCAAAGAAGATATGCAAATGGTCAACAAGCACATGAAAAAGCACTCAGCATCATGAATCACTTAGGGAAATCCAGACCAAAACTATAATGAGATAGCACCATAAATCTATTAGGATGGCTACTGTCAAAACAAAAACCAGAAAAAGTCAACTGTTGGCCAGAATGTGGAGAACTCGGAACCTTTGAGCACCGTTGGTGGGACCACAAAATGATATAGTGTCTAAAAAAAAAAAACAAAACGGAATTACTGTATGATCCAGCACTCCCACAGTACCAAAGAGAATTGAAAGTAGGCTCTCGAGGGTGGGTACTGTACTCCTGTGTTCATGGAAACATTATGCACAACAGCTAAAACATGGAAGCAACCCAAGTATCCATCGTTGGATGAATGGACAAGCAAAATGTGATCTATACATACAATGGAGTATTTCACTTTAAAAAGTAGGAAAATTCTGCAATATTCTACAACATGGAGGAACCTCGAGGACAATAGGCTAAATTAAATGAGCCAGTCACAAAAAGATAAACGTAAACTGCATGGCTCCTCTTATAGGAGGCATCAGAGTAGTCAAAATCACAGGACAGAAAGGAGAGTGGGGGGCTGCCGGGGCTGGGGAGGGGCAGAGTGGGAGTTTCTGTGGAACGGGGCACAGAGCCTCAGACTGACCAGCTGAAACCGTTCTGGGGATGGATGGCGACGAGACAGCACAGCGACGTGAACGAACTGCGCACTGAAAAGTGGTTGTGATGGTAAATTTTATGTGTATTTAAAAACAATTTTTAAAAAGTAACTTCTGCTCCGGCTGGTGTGGTTCAGTGGATTGAATGCCAGCCTACAAATCAAAGGGTTGCTGGTTTGATTCCCAGTCAGGGCACATGCCTGGGTTGCGGGGCTGGGTTATAGGCCAGGTCTCCAGTTGGGGGCACATGAGAGGCAACCATATACTGATGTTTCTCTCTCTCTTTCTTTCCTTCCTTCCTTCCTTTCTCTCTCCCTCACTCTCTTTCTCTTTCTTCCTTCCTTCCTTCCTTCCTTCCTTCCTTCCTTCCTTCCTTCCTTCCTTCCTTCCTTCCTTCCTTCCTTCCTTTCTTTTTCTTTTTTCTTTTCTTTTTCTTTCTTTCTCCCTTCCCCTCTCTCAAAAAGTAAATATTTAAAAAATAAACTAAAATAAAAAGAAAGTACTTTCTATTATGAAAGTAATATATGCTCATTATAACAAAAATCAAATACAGAGACAAATTAACAGATGGCCATTCCCCCCTGCCCCCTAGCTGTACAAATAATTTAAATGCCTATCTGGTAATATAGAGGCCATTAGCTTATGCCACTAAGCCAGCATTTTCTGAGTGCGGTGAAAACTCTTTTATCAGAATGAAGCTAATTACAATACTGCTTCTGTTTAGGAAGCAATACAGAGAAATTTTTAATGCAGAAATAAAAGGAAAAATTTTAGAACAACGGGTGAAGTCTCAGGCAAAGTGAAAGCCGAGGGGTGTTCTGGGGAGATGGAGGGCCACTGCTTGCTTAGCAGTTAGCATGTAACCTGTGTGGTTGAACGAGCAGAAGATGAGGAAGCGACAAGGATTATGAGTGATTATAAATCCTTTTACATGCATTACCTTCAACCTCAAAATTACTCATATACACCATATAGGGAAAACCTTCTCATTCTGAGTTTAGAGATTGAGACTTTTAAGAAGTAACTTGTCCAGCCCTAGCCAGTGGCTCAGTTGGTTGGAACATCATCCCATACACCAGAAAGGTTGCAGATTCGATTCCAAATCAGGGCACATACCTGGGTTGTGGGTCCAATTCCTGGTCGGGGTGCTTATAGGAGGCAACTGATTGATGTATTTCTCTCCCCCTTCCTCTCTTTCTAAAAAAAAAAGAAAGAAAAGAAGAAATCAATAAACATATCCTTGCATGATATTTTTTAAAAAAGAAGAAGTAACTTGTCCAGGTCATTCAGCTCTTCAAAGCCTTCCTACCCCGTAACCTGACTACCATTCAGTTCACATGACCAAGGAACAAGGATGCTGAGTCAGTCCCTGAATGTGAGGTGTGAAGGTGTCCAGCCAAGAAGTGCTGAAATATCAGTGGTCATGAACCAACACACAGCAAACTGACCCCAAAACAAATTCCTGACCTAGCTGTGGTCTAAGGACTGTCACCACCCTGCCTCACCAGGGACTGTCAGAAAACTTTTGTGCAATATTATGTATTATGGTGAAAGATCATGCTTATCTAATAAATAACTTCAAATATCCCCTGCTCCTCTTCCCAAAAGAATTAGGGTCAATGTGAAAAAAGTTCTGACCGCACAGTCATCCCTTACTTTACAGAACAGGGGCCTTCCAAATAAGATGGGTGTGGATACAATTTATACCCATTTCCAGCCGACTTTCCGATATGGGTAACTAAAGCATTAATTAAGGAATTACGGAATTTCTGGTGCACAAGAACACCACAGAGTCTCGAAGTTTTAGTTCCTCCGTAGTCTCCCACTTTCCTTCCCGTCCCTCTGACTTCCAACACTTCTTTTCAGGAGCCCTTAACTGCCAGTTTGGCTCCTGGGGCCACACTCACCGCCTCTCCGACCTCGCCAGGTGCGATAAAACTCTGCCGCAATACCACATTCCACCGGCAGATGCCGCAGCCCTATCACTTAACAGAGACAACTTTGAAATGGCTAACCCAACCCGAATGGCTATACCCATTTAGCACAGACTATTCTCGCAGGGCATTACGCTAGGTGCTTCGGGTCCACCCCGCACTTGGCTCACACGAGTAACACGTGAAAATTAAGTTAGTTACATCGTATAAAGTGCTTTGAACAATGACTGAATTACAGTGTGTAATTATTACCAGTCCGAGGTAAAGTGGCAGAGAAGGGCAGGAACTAGGGTCTAGTGTAGCTGTTTCAGCAGGGAAGTCTGGCCCCAGGGCTTGCTTTCCTTCCAGTTGGGGCCCTTGTCCTTTTTTCCTGTCGCTTGCCACCAAACTGCTCCTATTTCCCCCAAGTTGGAATCGGGAAGTTGTCTCCTTTCCGGCAAAGTGGCGGTAGTGTCGGGGATTAGGGGAATGGTGTTACAGTTGGGCCCGGCCAGGTCAGTGTGGCCACACCACCGGCTTGTTAAAGGAACTTCTAGAAGGTATACGGTCTGGGAAGTGACGCTGTGTGCGCGCCTACGGTCTAAACTCAATCCAAAGTTTCCTCCATTGTCCCCCGGGCCTGCGCCCCCTGCCTGCGAGACCCACCCCAGCACCTGAGGCGCGCGGGCTTGGCTCTCCTACCACTGAGGCGGACAGGGCCTCTCGCGGCCGAAGGGCTGCACCTGCCTGGGGCCCGCAGTCTCGGGGTCGGGCTCCGCTGTGCCCGGCCTACAGCGGCCGGGGCGATCTCCGGAAGGAGGAAGCCCCACCTCTTGCACGAACCTGAGGATACACCGGCGGGGGGCAGCGCCCGCGCGCTCCGATCGGCACTTTGCACCCGGGCCTCGCAGAAGACGCACGCGCGCAGGAAGGCGCCACGTGCTGGGGCCCCCGGCGCGCGGAGGCCGGGCTCGGCGTCAGCGCGCGACCGCGAGCCCACGTGCAGGCAGCCAGACCCGCCCCTTGGAAGCCCCCTACCCTCACGCACGTGCGGGCCGCCTCCTTTTCCCTGAGCCCTGCTCAGCCCATCTCTGCCCAGACCCAGCCTCACTCCTAGTCTGGGCACCGCGAGGCGGCGCAGCGGTCGCCTACGGCTGCCAAGAGGCGGGGCCTGCGCCCGCATTGTTCCTCCCCGAGAGGCTGGCCCTCCCCTTCCCTCAGCCCCGGGCGGGGCGCGGGGCCGCCAGAGCCGCGGAACGTGGGCTCGCGCCCCGCCTTTGTCTCCCGGGCGCGAGCCGCGGTAGCCCCGCGTCCGCCGCTCGCTCCCAGAGCCGCTTTGTGCCGCGGGGCGCGGAGCGGGCGGGCGCAGCCTCAGCATGGACGTTACCGTCTCGGAGCTCATGGAGCTCTTTCTGCAGAGCCCGCTGGTGACCTGGGTGAGTGCGCCTGGCTCCCTGCCTCATTGTTGGTGCACCGGCTCCTCTCCCGCCCTCCTGCAGTTGCCACAGACCCGCCCCGCCCGGGGTCCGGGCAGTCCCAGGCTTGGGGGTTCCGCAAGTTTTCCGGCGGGGGTCGGGGTCCGTGCCCGTGGCTCCGGAGGCTTTGCCTGCCCAGGAGCCGGCGCTCAGGGTTCAGGACCCCCCGACGCTCCCGGCCCGGGGTTGAGAGTGGATACACCTGTTCCCGCCGGGGCGCTGGGCTGCGGGTCCAGGAGCGGATAGGGTACGGGTGGTCACCATGTCCCCTGTGACTTGACTACTCGGGAAAAGGACCCACTCCCCCAAAATATCCTCGTGTAGTTTTTGAACCCAAACCAACCGGTGAATGGTGGTGACGGGTGCGGGATTGGGGGGTCTCCGAGTGGGAATGTCTACAGGCTGGGGTGGGCACAGTGATTTTTGATGAGTCTGAGACGTGAGAAATGTATTGAAAAGCTCCTTTATTTATTTATTTATTTTTCTCTTTTCTGGGACGCTGGAGAAAAGTGGCGAGGAAGTTTTTCTCTTACCGTCTCGCGTCTGTTGCCTAGAGCGGGACAGGGAGCGAGTCCCTGGAGAAGGGTGGGCTTGGTGCCCACTGAAGCTTGGGTGGGCGTTGGGTGACCCCCTTCAGCCCACAGGGCCCCGCCAGCCTTGGCCCTGGAGAGCTTCAGACTGTGCGCGTGGGGTGACTTTTCCTCCCTTTCTATCCACATCTTCCTCCTTGCAGGTGAAAACCTTGGGCCCGTTCGGAAGCGGCAACCAAGACAACCTGACTATGTACATGGATTTAGTGGACGGCGTCTTTTTGAACCAGATCATGCTGCAAATGTAAGTTGTCTTCACGGTCGAAAGACAAAAAATGATACTTTAGGAAGTTAAATTTAAGGTTGTGGAAATGGAACCCGAGGTTGCAGTGGGAGGGATCTTTGCACGTGGGGCCCATGGTATCTCCTACAAGTGCCTTTTTGCTGCCGTTGGTTAGGGTGTGAAGAACTCCAGGACGGGGGGTGGGCAAGTTGTTTGATGAAGGAGATTTGCAATGGAAGGACCGTCAAACTCTTGGTGTACATAGTGTGGTTAACTTCAAACTCAGGTACTTTTAATGTGGTTCAAGCAGTGAACTGAAAACCTTTTTTGGGGGGCAAGTGACTGTAACAGACAGTGTCCGGTTACAGGAAGTGCCGGGGGGGGGTCGGAGCATCTGTGTATGACTAAGGTTTCACTCTGGGTCAGGATGCCCGTGTTTCTGCGCTCCCTTTCATTTTATCTTCCATGTTCTGTTGTCCCCCTGGCACATGCTGTTGGTTAAGTCGCTTCTCGTGACTTGGATTTAAAGCCGCTGTGGTAGGAGAGGCACAGGGCGTCAGAATGCTTTGGACCCAGCAACTCAGGGCAGGGTCTTGGTGGAAGTTACCCTCGTTAGCATGTGTGTGTGTGTGAGACCACATCCTTTCCTGTTGCCGAATTCTGCAGAGCCTGTGTGATTGACAGCCTGCTACATGTAGGTGTCGGCTCCTGCTGCTTCATTCTGTTTTTAACTCAGAAACTGCAGGGGATGTGCTGGTACTTAGTGTCCGGGTGATTCATAGGCACTTGAAGGAGAATTAACCATCCTGATGTTCTCCTGGACCAACCCTGCACGCTCCCCTGCTCACCTGCAGCTGAGCGGGTTGTCATGCGCCAGCTTCACTTGGGGCCCACGCAGGAGGGGTTTGCTTTGGCATATTCGGAGAGTGGTTTAAATAGACTCACCTAAAAAGGTGTGTTTAAAAAATTTCCCAAGAACATCACTTCTTTTGTTTTAGTAAGTCATGTGGTATCATGATGTGGGAGAGACACTTCAGTCCTAATGATTTTGGGGGGGGGGTGTTTCAAAACCACTCCCAATCTTACCAATCCTGTGTTTGATTAGATTCTAAATGACCAATCTGTTAGCTTCGGCAGCACTTCCCTGAGAATATTGATGAAAATGAATTTTCCAGGGGTTGGCCCGTGGCATGATCAAGTTCTGACAATTACCCCCCATTCTGTTGGACCCTGAAAATTACTGTATTCCATTGGTGCAGTGACCAGTGAAAACTTCAACCTGTCTGTACTCAAACCCAAGACTGTTTAATGAAAAACAACCAGCAGTATCCACAGCCTTTTCGTTCAGCTTTTACACCCAGGCAGAGAGAGAACAAAGGCCCGGGACTGTTTCTCTTTCTTCAGTGACCTTTGGAATTCCTGAAGCTTTTACCACTTGCTTGTAAATCAGGGAAGCCTGTTGGACGTTCCTTTGAAAAATGCCAGCTCATCTTCACACTTGGCCCATGGCTGAAATCGGTTCGAAGGGCTGTTTCCCCTCCCCTGCACGATTTCAAATGTTATTTTCTTCTCTGTGATTTGCCAAGGTGTCAGTCTAGACGTGGGAGCTGACTAGTTAGTTTGCAGGTCTTAGGGCCTCAAGCAGCGTTTCTGGGTCCTTCCAACCAGGTCAGGCACAGAAAAGGGACAGCAGAGAAGCTGTCTGGGGGGCTTTCCAGAATGAGGAAGTCAAGGAAGGCGTGGCAGCGGCAGCACCCAGTTCACTGATTGGGTGATCAGAATGACCGCGCTGCAGGTGCTGGAAAGGAGAACAGTAGTTGCCTGTGGAAGCAGGGTGGGGACTGACTGGAAAAGCAGTACAGGAGGACTTTGGAAGGAGGAGTTTTCTATATATTGACTGGGGTATGTTTCATGTTTAAAAACTCATCAGGTTGTAACTTAAGACACATGCATTTTACACTCTTTAAAGCTTTTTTAAGTTACCAAGAAAAAGAATTCTGGTTCTAGAGTCAACCCGCTGGCAGCCAGCCTGCGTCTGCACTCCAGGTATGTCTCGGACAGCTGCCTGCGGCCGGCCGCCTCTCCGCACCTCAGTTTCCTGACCTATCAGGTGGGAAATGAGGGACCCCCCCTCCCTTAAGCGATGGTTGTGAGGCTTCCATGAGATGATGTGTTAGCATGTAGCACAGTGCCCACTACAGCAAAGGTGTTAGTGTTACTCGCTTCCCTGCGCACCATCTTAAACCCCAAGGGATTGGAGGCCACCCGTAAGACACAGGTGGCAAACGCCAGGCCCGTGGGCCTCCACCTTGTTTTATCCAACCCGGCAGCAACACCCCAGCAGCAACACCAGGCTCTCGCTTAACTGTTAAGGAGGAGTTACAGGGATACAGTCCTGAAATTACGTTTGGCCCTTTGAAGACAACAGCAAGGCTGATGTGGCCCCCGGTGAAAATGAGTTTGACACCCCTGCCATAAGAGTTAGGTTTTTCCTTCAGTTGCTCTCCCATATTCTTAGTCTTCTGGAGTCCTGCAGTAAGTCCTAGCCTTAGCCCCCTCCCACTGAGCGCTAAGGCAGCAGTGGACTCTGGGACCCATGTCCTCGCCCCGCACCTGACACTATACTTCAGCTAAACCTCGGTTTTCAGTTCTGCCAAGTGGAGAAACGTCAGCTACCTGGCCGTAAGGCTCTTCTGCTTTCCCTTCCGTGCTAGGAGCTGCAGCGGCCTGCTCCTCACCTGTTTTGGTGAGTTCTCCCCGGGTTGGTAGGACCTGAGAAAGGAGAACAGTATGCTAACTGGGATGCTGGAGCTCAGATAAGAGGCGTGTTACCTAACACTTCAGAGCCATATGGAGGCTGCCGGGGCCCCCGTGACAGCACCTGGGCATTGTCTCTGGCAACTGAAGAAGGCTGCGGTAGCAGTCCCTTGGCCCTGGCCTCCCAGTGACATCAGCACCTGGAAGCAGGAAAGCCCTGTGAGCTCAGCTTTCAGGGGAGGCCCAGATCTAGGCGGGTGCCTGCGTGAGAGTGAGGCTTTGAGTGGCGTGGACAGAGATGCACGGGAAAGTCGCTGAATAGCCCCTCCATCGGTCAGTGCAGAGCCTCTGGGTACCTGCTGGTACCAGGGGAAAAGAAGGTGCCTGATTCAGGTTGCACACGTTTTTCAGTCTCATAGGAAGAGTATCTGAGAGCTCTGGCTCTGGCCTCAGGCAGACAAGTTCAAATCCCCCCTCTGCCACATTTAAAGTGGTTTGTTACCTTAAAGTCTCTATGCTTCTTCCATTTCCTGGTCTGTAATAAACGGATGGTACGTTACAGATTTGGGGAGGGTTGAAAAAGATCCTGTGTGTAGAAAGCGCCCTACAAATGCCCCTCATCGTTGTCGTACAATGAAGCCAGACCAGGTTTGAGTGTGTGCACAAGCGTGTGCTGGTGTGCATGGCCTTTGGAGCGTGTCAGCCTTTTGATTTGACTCAGATTGGAACCAGCAGTCCTTGACCTAGTGATATTTCCTGCAGCACGCAAAGGTGGGGTTACCCAGTCCTCGGCAGAGCGGGGACATGCCTGCCTTAGCCATAGTAGGCTTCTGTTTCGATTTGGTTCCTGATAACCTTTTTTTTTTTTTTTTTACCCGAGAACCTTAAAGGAGGAAGTGTTAATGGATTAATTAATGGTCATGACAATTATCTGATTGCTCATGTAGTAGGTGCCAAGGCTCTTTTTGGAGGACAGGGGAGAGCAAAAGCAGAGGTGGTCAGAGCCCGGGCCCCGCCCCTGGGTCCGTGCGGGGACTTCAGTGAA